GCAGGAGGATAAGCGGATTGAAATGTAGAGAGTCCGTATACCTCGTCGACGATTAAATGAAGATTATACTGTGAGATTGAAAAAGTCAATTATGCTCGACGAGGAAATTGAGATTCGATCATACCTTTTGCGCGAGAAGAGCATACCCTGTGATTACCTCCTTCGGAACCACCTGAGGAATTGGATTGTGGGGGTTAGGAATGAGGAGCGCCTTGATTTTGATGCCGATTCTCTCGCTATCCAGAAGTTTTGCCTCGAGATACGGAAGGACGTCTTCTGAGAGGGAATGCACGTCTGGAGGAATATCGGCTCTGACCAGAGTGGCCAAAGCGGGGTGAGAGATGTCCCGCACATAGTCGTCTGCGAGAGGTGAGCAAGTTTCGACACAATCTGTCTTTACATACCATAGAAGGGCTGGTTCAGGGAAAATAAGTCATCAAATCGCACGGAACGGGATGGTCTGAATCGGGACGCACAACACTCATCAAGACGCCTTCACCTTCTCCGGCTAAGGCCCAAACCAATTGAGCTAGGAGCGCCCCAATTCCCGGTCCTGTTACAGAATTCTCCCCTAAAAGGAATGACTTCAACAAGCGACACCTGCTTCGTCTAGTCCACACGTACGCGTGATTAGAACTCGCGGATTGAAATGGTCGTTGATGTATTCAGGAAGGAGATCCTCTACCGTCGGAAGAGTCGTTTTGATGAGTGTAGCACGGTACCTGAGATGTTGAGTGTGAAGAGTGGTTATGGGGCGAGAAAAGTGCTATGCGACAGAAACAATCAGTTCTCGAACCACAGAACATGGCGAGATCACACGATACCTCGATGAGACGTTCGCTTAACAGCGAGTTCTCCGCGATTGACAGGTTGATAGTACCGTTGGGGTACAATTCGGGGTCATAAAATGGTCCCTCTGGGGGTGAACTAGAGGAAAGGAAGGTGATCAGCGAACCTCCGAATTTCGAGACACGAGAGAGGAATGGTAAAAAGGGTATTCGCCGAACTTCTGGGTCCGACTAGTTGATTTAAATTGAACCCTCTGACTCACTACGCATGTGGTGAGGGGAAACCGAGACGTTTCAGGGCGCGATTCGAAAGTTGGGGGAACTCGGACATGGGGAAGGCAATGGAGGATGGTAGGGTCAGACTCTCTGCTTTTAAAGTGTCGCCTCAAGCAGAACGGGGATCAATGCAGCAATATCCGGATCCCCGTTAGGTTTGAACCAGATCGGGGGAGTTTGATGGCATCTCCGCTTTATGGGCGCTTATTTGGCATGAGCTTCTGCACGAGGTTGTCCTCTTACCACCATCCATGATGATCCAGGGCTCGACATGTCATTTCTCTGGAGGTCCACAATCCTTTTTCCACGCTGATCCTAATGCGAACGGCAGTGGATACCGTAAAATCAAGCATTCTTACAGTTCTATCGGCTTGGTTTGGGCTATCAACGATTTTTTTTAACTCGTCATCACCCAAGTCCAGTGTCGACATACATCGAAACGGATCCATGATTCCACCAAGCACGGAAAATAAAATGTGGTGAGTATGCTCACCCCACAGTTTGGCTCAATTCAATTCAGCAACTTAGTCCTGTACATGCATGTACATTTCACACGTTTCTAGTTGCGATGCGAAGCTTTGCGGAGTTTTAAGTTGCATTTGGGACGAAATTTGGTCTACTCATCAAGGAACTTCCTCGAAATATCCAAGCGCATCTCTACTTCCTGTACTCCGAAAGGCTGCGACACGTGTAAGTTTCAGCACCTCCATACAGTAGCTCTGTCTGAGATGCGTTCTTAACTTCTTGTCCAATACAGAGACCATCCCCGTGTGCGTGAGAGTGGCGCATTCCCGGAGAAGCTTGACCCTGTTTTCCTCTTTGTGCGTCCGCCCCTTCGATCCAGGACCACCATGTCAAAAGGTTTCCGCAGAGGATCATCGATTCAGCTCTCGAGTTCCCTGGCGAGATCCCATTTCCACGTTCATCGGGGGTGGCATCTCCGGTCGCCGTTTGCACAGTGTGTTTTGACATCGAGGCCCGCGGCTTGTAAGTGCTGAGCAGAACGGCTGGTACCAAAACTCGAAATTAATATCGCAATTGTTCTAGGCCCAAGATTCCGTTGTAGAACGCTCACCATTACCTACACCTTACTTCATTTCTTGGCCTAGTTGCATCATTTTGGCACGTATTTTTGTTTCCATTCGTTTCGTGCCTGCATTTGTTGACTTTGTCATGCCTTTGGCGCACGATACTGAAAGTCGTGCGATTCGGTTCAGATTAAGCCACACAGTTCTGCCTCTTGGCCGCGGCAAAGGTTCGAGGGGATTCGCATAACCCTGTGCCTCTTCCCTCCTACTCACACGAATGTCAGCAACCAACGCCACCGATAACTAGAAGCTCTTGTATGCCGGCACTCTAGGAGGATCTCCTCACGGTTGCAGACTAGTGTCTCGCTAAAGGACTTGAACACCCACGGTACAATATTCCCATCCTCCTACTGCATCTTCAAGACGAACACGTCTGTCAAACTGCGCCGGTTTTCATCGCCACCCTTGGAATTTGAAATCAAATACTTCTTTGAACCCGACTGGTGCATTTTGTTTCGTCATCCAATTGTTGTTAGACCCTGACTACATGTTACAATCCTTTATTAATGGCAGAACTCTGCGCAATGAGCTATGAGCTACATGCGACCTCTTCATTCGATGAGCCCCGCAGTCTTCGTATCGTTCCCTCTCTCATTTCATTTACAGGTGAAATAGCAAAACGGGAGACTTTTTCCCTGCGTAAACTGGCACCCCTCGACTTGCAACGGCAAGTGCAACAGTCAAAGCTTATCTACTATGATCCGGGCGTCGCTGACGTTTCTCTGTACGTGCATAGACTGTTACCAACTCGCAAAGATATCGCCTAATGTCTACATCCCCACGTTTCATCTCGGTTTGCTAACCTGCACAACTTCTGTTGAATATTAACGTCATCCACGTCAGTTAGTTCCACTTCCATTTACATTCGCTGATCATGGCCAGGGTCGAGCACCTCTGTACTGGTTCGAGAGGGTGGAACGTGAATGCCTCGACGACGCAGCAGCAGTCGTTCACCGATTCACAGGACTTGGCTGGGGAAGAAATCAACGCCGTTTGCGACCCCCCGGGCATTGATTCTCTACCTCACCGCGAGGTAGAGCCGGAAACCCGGTACGACCCCTCATATCCGACATACGGCTTGGCCATTTGTCCTGTCCGGTTAATATGTTTTCGTTCCTGGTTCCGAGCATCCAGACAGGACCCTGGCGGAGATCATTGTCTGCGTCCACTGCTTGACAAACCGGACCTCTGTTCGACCGATGCATTCATCAATATTGCAATGGGGTGCGCCAAGTTCCGTCTCTGCAGTGACTGAATAACATATATTTCTCTCCGATTTTGGTGGGCATCGCTGGTCCGTGGAGGTGACTCAGGTTGTCAAACAAGCGTGTTCTCCTCCAATTGTCCCTGAGAGAGATTTACGTACCTACGTTCTTGGTAAGTTGGACTCTTTCTCCGCTATTGCATCATCTACCCGCGGATAGTCGAATTCTTTCCCAACACTCCAAAGATACTCCAAATACCAGTTACGGCTTAACAGCTCGAGTTCCGTCCGTGGACCCCTACAAATCAACAACAGTGCATTTCCTTTTCCGAGCGATTGATCAACATGCAGCACAGCAATCTGGTCAAGCGCACGTAGTCGAGTTCCGTCTCCAGCTCTCTGGTATGTGTCATGTCCTCGTGGTTCTGCCTAATTGCATCATCTCCAGTCTATACGTTCTAAAAGGCAAGCCCAACTCCCAAGTCCGTTTCCCAAGTCCGTTTCCTATTTCTTGACAAGTTGAGTTCCGTCCGTGTTTTGTTTTTCATCATCCTATCACTCCGGCCTGAACACTTAACATAGTGCGGTCCTCTGCCCGTGGTTTGCCCCGAGATCTATGTATTGTTGCATCATCCTCCGATGAGAGTGTTCACTCCAAACATACTCCAAATTCGAGTTGAGTTCCGGCCGTATGCTGCGGGCGACCTCTCGTTGATTTGCCTTTTTTTCAATCCAAGTTGATGAGTTATAGTTCCGTGGCGGTTTGGTATCGATGCGGCAGGTATGTCACTCCAACGAGATTAATCTCCACGGCGTACGCTTCCTATAAAGTCGGGTTGTTAACCTGACCTTTACAAACTTCAGGTAACCCAGGTTGCCCAGACACTTGTCGAAACAATTAAGCTTTTGCACGCGAGTCAGTGTCAAACACGCCCCCGAGGAGGTAGCGACGTCGCCCATATTCGCGATCCGCATTTCTGAACATTTATAATACGCCCTACCTCCTTCCCGACGAGTTTGTTTATGTTTTGGCTAATAGCTTTTTATTTCCTGCGCAGGCTAGCATATGGCTGTGGCGAGCCACGGTGGATATAGGTACGGTCCTTCCCCCTCTCTGATGATGAGTGATCATGATTCGTTAAACTTGGCAAACCCCGACGTACATACACGGTAATTTCCATTGGCTGGTAGGCCGTAAAACATAATATTTTACATATAGACCCTAACTTACACTACCTTTCTTCTGTCTTGCGTGCCTGCAAAAAAATGTGTGCTTGAGCTCCTTACCTAACAATTACATTGATCTCCACGGCGCACGCTTTTGAAGTCAAAACTCCGGGTCGGAAATTTGAAAATATATTATCCGCCACGCAGATATCATTCCAGACCGATTGCCCGATTTCAAGAGTTGCGTTATGGTCGTATCCAGCTCGTCCATCCGACTTACAACTTGCGCACCACCCAGCATAAGGATTCGGCGTTCGTCGGCCATTCGGCATCCTTCGGATTTCCCACTTTCTGGTTGATTTATCGATGGGCAGCGATATCGGATTGTCCTCGCGTCCTGAATCCTCGTAGATTTCATGTTTCTACATATTCTCGAACATCCTGTCTCCACTCAACTGGTACGCGCCCCGGATGTGGGCATTAATGGGGTAGTGGTAACCTGGGTCGTTGCCATTCGAGTCTGTCTCGACCCGCCGGGGGTTCGATTCCCCCTTAATGCATCGTGATTCTGTGTCTTTTTTGCTGCGGGAACTGGTGCACAACCTCTCTGCCAAACATCAAGACTATTACCCTCTGGTCCCGACAAGCTTGACTTTCTTCCACTTCGTCACAGTGCCTTTGGTGGAATTTAAGCATGGAACGATTCAAATGTTCAGAGGAACTGGAAGATACGTTCCATGCGCGGATGCTGACCGTTCATTTCCTAACTTCTGACAATCTGGCAGCGGAAAGTCAGCGTCAAATAGTCGCGGACGAACAACTTCTAGATGAGGGGAATTAGAACTGAATATTCGTGTACTGTATTATTGCTTCACTTACAAAAAACAAGACTGTGGCCCACTTCAGAGGTTGTGTTGCAACATCAAAACCCGCGAGGGAATCGACTATTCTGCGCAGCGCGCTCCGTATAGCAGCGTGATTTTAGCACACCTGCCCGATACTGCGTTGCACATCGAATTCTCCAGCAAAGGACAATGCGTGTCCATCCATTTCCAAACATTGTTCATCGGCGTCTCCATCATACAAGAAAATCAGGCTGTACATTCAATCTACATTCCACGTTCAACTCGACATCGTCACTGATATCTATACATTTCACCCTCTCAGATACTTCTGCGTTAACGCGCCCCGCCCCGACGGCGCGATGCATGTTGCGACAACCGACGACTACTTCTTCCCGGCCTTCTTGGCGGCGGTGCGCGCGCGAGTGATTTGCTTCTTCCAGCCGTAACATTGGTTGCAGGCTGCGAGGAAGATTAGTATCGGTGTGTGCGGGAATAGAAACCAGAGACAAGAAGAGTACAAGGAGAGGGCGGTAAAACATGGGAATGAGTCGAGGAATCGGAATGGAGACGCAAAGGATACTACGTCGGCGGTCGTTTTCGACGGCAGCGAAGCAAGGGAAGAATCAAAAAGAACGAAGGAAAGAGAAACGCACAAGTCGACGCATGCTTCTTGCACTGGTACACTCCGTCCTTATTCACGATAGCGGGTGGAGCCTCGATCCCCTCACGGTCAATCGAGTCGAACCCGAAGAAGGCGTCATTCTCCTCGCGGCCGTCGAAACTACAGTCATCGCACTAAGGACCGCATCGTATCAGCTCATCGCGGACGAAGGGAGAAACGAAAGGCGACACGCACGACCTCCTTGAAGTGGGTGCAGAAGACCCCGTCGTTGATCTCGATGGTGGCAGGGGCGGGAGCAGTCTCGGCCATAGCTACTTGTCAACGAAGGAGGAAGGAGGTGCAGAGAGAATCTAGCGAGCGCCGGCGACGACGACGAGTGAGATCGATAAGACTATGGGGAAGAGGAGGGGGGTGGTGAGAGTGTGGGATCAGAAGTCGTCACCTTGGCTCTGTTTATATTGTGCCGGGATTTGCCGAGCTTTCGGTGATTGGGAACTTTGATGCCCCAGATCAGCTGATGTGGGGAAATGTGGGGTAAATTGTGGGGTTTCGTGCGGAGGGTGATTGGTTGAGGTGAGCGACAGAGACAACTATTCAAGTGTACACGAACAGGATGTTTTGGTAGGAGAATTGGCTTTGAGGGTGGACTTGCCAGGGTGGGTCTAGTTTTCGGGCAAGGCGGGGCTAGAGGTGGGTCGTGTGACTGATTCAGGGCGATGACGCAAAAGAATCGGTGAAGGTCGGGTTGGGAGACTCCGACATTCCCGGTGGATGACCTGTTGTGAACAAAAATAGTATGTCGTCAGGTTCGAGACGTTCGCATAATTATCTTCGAGTTCCAACATTCGTGTGGGCCACCATCGAGGGAGTCAAACGCTTTCCAAATCCAGTTCGGGAAGCGGAGAGGTTTCAAAACTTGGTGCAAGTCAAGAGAAACCTGTTTTCGTTGCAAATCAGAGCGTGGTTCCTTAGTTTTGTCTGTAGCCAGAATTCGAGTTCTTCCCACACTCGAGAGGAGTGAAGGTAGAAGACGTAGTGCCTGAATTTGAATATCGTCGATCGCATCCGTCGTAGAGCCCTGTCAATAGCATCGCAATGGTGAACAAAGTGAAGCGAAAAAACACGAATTCCATGAGTCTCGCGAGGGAGTCACTAAGAATCCTGCGCTGAATCATAAGTTCCAGGCTGAGAGGTTGAAATTGAACAATGAGGGCATATGCTAAGAAAAGTAAACAGATAGGCAAGCGAAACATACAATGGATTGTTCAGGGACAGGTTCAACAAAGTTGAGCAATATGAGATCCAGGCAAAGAGTTGCCAATGAAGAATTGGAGTCCACTCGCTTACTGAACGTTCAGCCCCTGGTCGAGTATCAGAACCCACATATCGAATGTGTCGGGGACAATAGCGAAGCGAACGATTAAATGGTGTTCAAATTGATAGGTAGTTTTGACTCGATGGCCGACCTCTAAAGGACAAGATAGAAAGCAGCGTGGAGTGTGCACAGGCGACCCGTCGCCGTCCGAATCGAATTCGAGAAAGGCTTGATAATTACCGGGTCGTTTCCGTTGAGGAGGCTCAGGCTGAGTTGTGCTGCGAAGGAGTCAATAAAGATGTTCGCTGAAAAAAGACTTGCGACAATCTCGATGACACCCGTACTTCGAATCGAACGAGGTTCCGACTGTGAATATTAATCTGTCCAGATTTCAGATGATCACAGACGGAGTGGAAAGCTACTCTCTCCTCCGGGTCCCATTGTGAGGCAGTCATAAATGTGCGATCAGTCCGAGCTCTCGTGCACAAGAATCTGAATGACGCGGCCCCCTTAGCGGGGGAATGACATTGACGGCTGAATACGGCCGTTGTGAGCAGAGATAACACCGAGATCTCTTGAAGAAGCGTGCGTGCTAGAACAGGCAGAGGGTAGCGATTCAAGGGCGGGATGTATGGTTTTGATTGTTTGCCTTCATTGAGAGATTCCGGTATATTTATTATTTGGTCTAGAAATTGAAGACAGGTACCAGTCGTCGTAGAAGCGCATCACTGTGGCGGAATAATAGCGCAGGTAGAGTTCCGCTGCCTCGCAAGGGAGGTGCTTCGGACATCGTCCAAGCACGGCCGATGGTCGTGGTGCGGAGGAAAGGGAGATGCGTGACGTGACACTCACGATTGCTGATTGATCCGGTTGGAACTTGGCGCAGCCGCATCAGGTGGATCATGATGTGACTGTAGCGCGTTACCTGCCTCGTCTCAAACCACCACCATCGACTTGGGGCTTGCCCTACTCCGAATCTTGACTTCTCTAATAGGACTTTTACCTCTTTGCCTTGCTTGGTGCTACTATGTCTACCTCACCGTCGAACTTTACGAATGGCACGACTCGACAGACTCCGAGTAAGACATGACGACTCTAACAAGGCGCAATACATCACCGATGGCTCTGTGGTTGCTCTGAAATCGATTTCATAGACAACCCCATTGTTCTCGATTTTTGCCGTTCAATTTCCATTACAGAATTCGAAGAAAACGATATTTCTGGCGCTTTTCCGCCGGGGGCAACTCCATTTTCTTGTTCGTCCTCTGACTGTTGAGTTGCATGGCAACATTGCTCGTTGCATATGTTCATACTGTTACATGGACTCTGCCTATATCATATCATACATTGCTGCACCTCCTTCATTGCACCCTCTAAGCAGGTCTGCCCTACCCGTCCACAATCCTGAGCCACTCCTGTTGTTCTTCGTCCGGATCTCCCTGTGCATCGTCTCCATAACGCTCATACCAGCTTAATACCGTTTCTGAACAACGTTTGAACACAACCTTGACTCCGAACACCTTCCAAACCTCCGCCGCAAACTGAAGAATACGACCAGGCGATTTCTTTGGCAAGTCGGCGACCTCTGAAGTAAATCCCGTAGTTAAGACCACGGTTTCAAGTGCCACAGCATTTTGCTGCGGCGCACATCGAGAGTTGACGAATTTGATGGCGCAATCTAGGTGTTGAGCGGGAAGAACTTTGCACGTAAAGTGTTTGAGATGAGGAAGCAAAACCGGCGGGCCCGGGCGTAGAAGTGCATCCCAGAACGATCCTTTGCACTCGGAGAGCTGAAGCCGTTCGAGGCTTGGCTGAGTTTCAAGTATCTTGTGAAGCTCGACTCTTCCCAACGGTTTGATTCTGTCCAGACTCAGGGAAATCAGTCTGCATTCCGAATGCTTGAGAAACCGCAAGAGTGCTTGTCCGTCATAACCCGACCCGTCCACCCAGGAAACATGAGTGAAATGCTGCAAGGCGGGAGCACGAAGTCTTCCGTAGAAGTCGCATGCAGCCTCCGACCAATAGCATTTGATTGTGAGAGTGCGAAGAGAGGAGAGGGTGGTTGGAGATCCATCTCCTCTTGCTCTGGGTCGTCTGATTCGACGGAGACGAGAGTCAATGCTAAAGTTTCCAGGCGAACACAGAGGCGGAGTACGCGCAGGAATGAATGATGTGGGGTGTTCACCATGAGCTTCAGTTCACGGAGTTGACCGAAATTAAGGCCGATAGAAGTCGGGAGGAGCATGCAATGACAGATCGTACCCCGAATACAAGAAGCGTTGACTAGAAGGTGGGAGAGAACCGGCGCCACTTGGGACAAAGCTTCACTACTCGAAGCTTCTTCTTCCGGCCGACAGATCAGCCATCGCGAGCAGTTGACGTGGTAAACGAAAAGCTGCAGCTTCTTGAGGGCGGGAAAGCTGTTGGCAGCGAGACATAGAAATTCCTCGACGGCAACGCTGGCGAGCTGAAGACACAACTCAAGGATCTGATTCGAATAAGGAACGACCATATTGTGTAGTGACCGGGTGGAAGTGACTCCATTGTCGTCCAAGGCATCCTGTACTTTGATGTTGATCAGCTTTTGGGGTCTCTGAGCTAGGATAACCTGGAGTTGATGCAAAGCCCGCGGGTACGAAGCGGGGCCAATTTGGAGCTCAATGCGATTCCAAAGAGCACTTTGCATCGCAACGGTTCTCCAGTGAGATGACACACGGGGAAGTATGAGGGATGGATGCTGGTACGCCATCGCTGATTGCGGGAGAGTGCAAGGCTTAC